CCCATTTCGCTCTCCACCGCGGTGCTCGGCGGCGTCGTGCGCGTGCCGACGCTCACCGGCGAGGTCGAGACGAGAGTGCCGCCGGGAACGCAGCAGGGGGATCGGCTGGTCGTCCGCGGCCGCGGCGTGCATCGGCCGAATCAAAACCGCACCGGGGACTTCTACATCCACTTCGCCGTCCTCCTCCCGAAAACGCTAACCGAGGCGCAGAAGGAGGCGATCGCGAAATTCGCTAAGGATGAAACCCCCATCGAACTTTCAAACGCTGAGCTACAGGATCTGAAGAACCGGTATCGCTCGTGGTTTGCTGAGTAGAAACCAGTGAGTAGGACCTCAAAGGAAGGATTTAGGTGGTATGAATTTAGGGTACGGGGAGGTAAAAGATAAGTAACCCTTTTATTTGTTCTTCTGTGGCGAAGATCAAAAGGGCGAGGAGTGGGAGAGATGCTTGGTTTCAACATACTGGCTGGTGGCCGAGGGGCTACTTTCGTGTTAGATTTTCTTCACATTGCAGCGATATTATCGAAGTAGTACCACACTATGCGTAGCTGGGTATTGCCTTCAGCTTTGTTTTCCTTACATTATCTTATCGTTCAAAGTGCTTCAAGTACATTTAAAAGCATTCATTATTATTACCTTAATTACTGTGTATGTCATGCAATGGTTTGTGGGTTTTGTGTGTCAATATCTACATAATTTTTTATCGAAATTCGACGATGCAAAGTAAGCGTAAGAATAATTTGCAGGAGGTGGATCATTCAGTTGATGGGAGAGAATGAGGAAGGGGCTTCTATTACTGCGCCATAGATTGGAAAAGTTATTCTTCCTCCTCCCCTTTCTCCTCCCAACACACCAAACACAGACACGCATACACATGTCTGCCGTGGAGTCAGAGAAGAGGGTATGTGCGGGCTTAAATTCGTTATTTGTAACAATTAAGTAGTGTGTATTTCTATACTGTCTAAGGATGGGGTATGTGAAAATAGGGCCCCATCGCATTCATGAAAAAGGTACGCTGATATGGACATTATTCAACACCCTTTCTAATGTCTTTTTTTTACTTTATCTGTTGTTGTCATTTTTGTGGAATTTGATTAGGAATAGGGAATTGTGCATATATTCATTTTATAGACCACTTATTATCTACTTAAGTAATTAACGACACAAAGGTATAGTTCCACCGAGCAATTAAAAAGCACACTGACAAAACGAATAGGTAATTTTTATTCTTGATTTGTTGCGTATTTTTCTTGTGTTTAAGGAGCAAAAGGTCCTTTCCCCATAAACAAATTTTATAATCCTAATTCAAGAATTCATTCAAAGCTAAAAAAAAGGGGATAAATTCATTGAAATGGGAAATCATAACACACACTCACATATACCGCAGCGTTCTTCAAGAAGTTCCACCCCGAGGGCCACTTTGAATACACCCACCACTCCTGGGGAGTATATGCCTCCCACCTCCCGATCTCGCCGGTCGTCGAGAAATCGTTCCTTTTCACCATACCTAGGTGATGGAAGAGAAGAGCGGGCGGCTTGGTTTAGTTTACGCCCCCGAAATCGGAGAATGGTATCGGGTGCAAGCGTAATGGATCGTGAGATAGGGGAGCTTTTTCCTTTGAGTGCCATCCCTTCACTTGAGCTGCGCATGGAGATGTCGAATCTGATGGTCGACAGCCTCCTCCTGCAGGTCGATGGTGCGCTCTCACGGATATTAAATCTGATAGACATCCAACGTATTATTAGTCTTGGCCCTCGTATTTTTGGTGTCGGGCTGGACTTTAACGACTTAGAGAAGCTTCCTCTGGACTCCAAGATACTTGAAGGTATCGCGGACAGCTCGGCAGAGGCGTTGCATTCCAACGATGAAGCTCATGATGATGCGAGCTCGCTGCCGAAGGCTGGCGACGTGAGGGATTTGATCCTCTGCGACTGCTGCTCGATATGCCTCTCGACGTTCCGCGATATCTTCGAGAGGAGCACTACTGAGGACTCCGAGCAGGGCGGCGGGTCGAAGCCCGTCTACATCTGCCGGCTTCCCTGCAATCACCTCTTCTGCCTGGAGTGCCTGCGGCCGTGGCTGGTGGAGAACGAAAGCTGCCCCAACTGCCGCCTGGGGTTGGAGGACATTCAGAACCTCTACCAGACGATGGCGGAAAAAGCGCCGGCATGGTGGGTCTCCGCGCTCACCATTTTCAAGGAGAAGGAAAAAAATGCGACGCCGATACCGAGTGTCTTAGGGAACAGCCCCAAGGTATCGGTTATCGGGAGCGATACCGACCTGTCGAACGATCCAGGGGTCGAGGAGATCTCGATCCGGTCGCTTTCAAGCACCTCCTTGAGCAGCACAGCTGAGGTCGTCGCGATCTCACCGCTCGCCGTGGAGCGGTCCGACAGCGACGGCGATGCCTCCGTCACCCAGCACGAGACGACGGAGGATTCCAGCAGCGGCGTGGTCTCCATCTCCGCGCGGGAGCGATTTTTAGCGCGGCGAAATCTCCCCTACCGGCGGAGTGTGATCCCTTCGAGCGTGAGGTCGCCCTCTATGAGCAGCCGCCGTGCGAGCGAGGACGGCGCGCGACGCGGCGGCGCTTTTGTTATCAGCGGCCCCCCCGTGGGCGCCGTCCTCGGGCGCGTAGACACCCCTTTCACCCTCCCAGAGGGGGCGTTAGAGGATGGGTTGAATGAGCCCGACCCGCACGAGCCCCCGCTTCGCCTGAGAGACCTCTCCACCCAGACCTCCTCCCGGGTTTCCGACGCCGGGGAGTCGACGAGTGGGGCGGTGTTGCCGGCCCCCCGACCGTCCGCCTGGGGGGGGGGGGAGGCCCCTTAGCCTCACATCCGGCAGCGGTGGGAGCAACGTGCGGACGATCCGGCTGCTCAGTCGGATGCACCGCCAGCAGCAGTACGAGCCCTACCTGCGCGATGTGAGTGGGGGGCGGGGGGTGGGAGGGGCAAATAGCCGTCCCGGAAGGGGCTCCCCGGCAGGGAGAACAGGGGGGCGAGTGCCGCCAGAACCATAGAACGCCGCATCGCAACGCTAAGTGGAAAGGGAGGGAAGGGGTGAGAAGAGCACACCCCGAGACCTTGTCGTGCAATCGCTTGTTTTAGGATCACTTAATTAGTAGTATTTTGCTTTTTTGTCATTGTTGTTATTTCTGTTGCTTGATGTGTGCATTCGCCGGTGGTTAATTTCTTCTCCTTGTGGTGTATCCATTCTAATAGAGAAAAGGGAAGGGGGGGGGGGTTGTCATCTCCGGACTTGCGATCCTACCTCATCTTGCTTTCACTCCGCTCTTTGCTTTGTGGTAAAGCTTGGTGAAGATTCAGGGTATGCGAATTTATTGCGTGTACGCATCGACGTACCCGCTAGGCTCGTTGATCAGGGGCGGTGTTTTTCATTGTGTATTTATTTTTTCTCTTTTTATATATATATATATATATATATAGGCTATATTACACGTATAGATGTAAATTATCCCTCTATATTCTGGAGCCTCTCCTATTTTTCAAACTGACATTTCATGCTTTTTTTTTCCACCTCCAAAGACCTATACTGCATTATCGCTAGATTACCTAGAGCGAAAAAAGATGGGCGATAATATGTGTGGAAGAGCGATCCCACAGATACATTATTTTTGAATTGATTTTTTTTTGATTATATGTATAATTATTGTTTTCATTGTGCATTAGTTCAGCTTTCCGATAGTATTTTTGGGGGCGTTGATAATATTTATAGTAATAGCATTTTAAGATTCTTTTAAAGGCCTCAAAGTATGATGTTCGTTGTGTGCGCCGCTTTTTCGGTCTGAATATAAATTTTCGCTTGTTTTTCCTTGTTATCATGTCTATATATGTTTCTAGAACGATACCCTGTTCTGTGTTACTTCTTTCATTGCTCCGTCTTTAGAAAGTTTGAAGTGGAAAAGCGAAGAGAAGCCATTTATCTATGAACTATGGAGTGGGGCAACTTGCTTGCCACTCCCCTTGTGATCGGAATCCATTCTAGATTCATACTATCGTTGCATAAGTTTATCGTGGCTCTATTTTTTCCCTTAATCTGTACGTAATCACTAAACTCCGCACCTCATTACCGTTTAAGGATAATTATTTGTTTCCCACGAAAAACTAGTGTTATAGAATTAGACTGGTTTTTGTTTTTTTCACACAAAAGGGGTTATTAATACGACGTTTGCGGATGTACAAAATATGTTGCGATCGCTTTGCTTGATGTGCTTACGATTGCAATAAATTTGTCTGGCAATAATATGTGTATAAACAAAGAGGATAGGAGTCATAAATCGTACAATTAAGCAAAATATTTTTTTATTCTTGAACACCTGAAAATGCTATCAATGTGGATATCTCCACTTATTTGCAAATAGATTACTTTTTCACATCTAACACCACATTCAATTGCTTTGACAGGAGTATTACAAGTAGCTAAGGGAATAACGTATTTAGCAGGGCAAGATGTCCTTGTATGGCGGGCGCGAAACGGCCGACGGGGCCTTCGGAAGTGATATCTCCGGGTTGAGTGCGAACTACATGAATGAAAACAACTGTCAACGGTTCTGGCAGCGGCTCATGACCTGCGTCCGGGAGAGCCAGGAGCTCGACGTCCTCTACGACTGCCGCAGCCGCCTGTTGGATATGCGGGAGTGCGTTGTGCGGCATAAGCAATCCACCTGGGTGCTCCGTGAGACCATGGCCACCATCAAGCACGAGAAGGAGCTCCGAAAGTGGATTCGTGAGTATGATGAAAAGATGGGGCACCCGCCGCTGCTCGAGGCCGTATCGACGGTGCGGAAAAAGCTGGAGGCGGAAGGTGGTGTGGATGTTCTAAATCCCACCGTGTTTAAGGATCCTGATCTGTTCATTCCTAAGAAGGTACTGTCTCCCGCGAACGAATAACGAGGGCGCTGACTGAGTCGCGACGGCGCGGGATATCCCAATCTAAGATGCAATAGATAACATGGATAGATACTAACGGAAAATCTTATGTATAAGATTTGCACACATGGTTTGTGTAGCAATAGCAGAAATGGTAGAAAGGGATAGGCCGCTGTATTATATATATGAGGATACTTTTGGATAAGGAAGTAGGCAAAGGGATGTGCGTATGTCAAAGTAGGAATTCACTGGTTGTTTAGGAAATCATTTTAGAGTATATGCTCTGCTTCACTCTTTATTTGCTGTCGTTTTGCGATGATTTGATTCTACGATATCATTTTAAGACTTCTTGTCGATTGAACTCACACACAGAGTACTATTGGAGGACCTCTCTGAATATGCCCGACATGAAATTACAATCATCTTTACACGTGTATTTGCTCAATAAATAAACTGTTGACGATTCATATATATTCTTATCAATGATCATGGAAAAAGACTATAGGGGATGCGGTGGGCGTGTTTATACATCGTTTCAGCATATATCGATACATACAGATAGATAGATAGATATACTTACATATGTATGTGTGTATCTGTATTCTTCCCCTTCTTGGCATACTATTGGATAGTCTATCGAGATCACTTTTCATTCAACAAAACACCTGTTTAGGGTACTCATAGAATTATACTAGGACCTAGCTTACTATTACTACTGACATACTTTCAACAAGCATTATATCAGATAACGCTTTCATAATTGCTAATATTTTTATCACATCTTCGCTTGGGAATTGGTAGCTTTTCTCAACGAAGGGGTTCCATTTTTCCCGTTGTCATAGGTATTCCATATTGGCACGGTCATAGCAGTATTGTGGGAAAGGTAGAGTGATTAAAGTCCTTCGTTAGTACAGTCTCCTTTTCCAAAGGCTTCTGTTGTGTTAGTCTGATTTTCCTTTGCCCGTTCTCCATCTACATACACACACACGCACCTGTGTAGGTGGCGCTAATCAACTCAGACACGGAAAAAAAAAACTCCCTCGCGATATTTGCCCTCTATATTTTTTTTTAATCCCCTTCGGCTTTCGGCGAAGCCCTTTCCTTTTGATTGCACCTTTTCACCCTTTCTTCTTCCCCTTGCGTCGCCGCGACAGCTGGAAGGAAAGGGAAATTCGACATGCACAGTAGCGTCGAGAGTTGTGTGACCAGCACGGTCGTGAGCCACCAAAAGGCGATCCCCTTCATCATGCTCACGAACGACCTCGGGGCGCCCTACCGCCTCTCCGGGGTCGGCCTCACCACGGAGCTGATTAACGTCCATCTCAAGCGCGTCATCATCCCGCTGCACGCCGGCGACGCCTCGCTTTACCTGCGCAACCACATCCAAGGCATCCTCTGCCTGCCGGGCTGCGAGACGACGATGCTGGGGCGGACCCGCACCGCCTACCCCCCCCCTCCCCCCGCCC